TCTGCTTTGGCTTCTCTGCGCTCCAGTGCAATTTTCAGAGTCTCTTCTGACATCCATTTTGGTCTTTTCTTCCTCTTCTGTCTTTGTAATGAACGTGTGCACTCTTCTTGGATGATACCCTTGATATCCTCCCGCAACTCATCTGGTCTTTGCTCATTAGTGTTCAAGGCCTCAAACCTGTTCCTGAGATAGTTCTGAAATTCAGGTGGGATAGACTCAAAGTCATATTTTGGTTCCCGTGGACTAGGTTTAATTTTCCTCAGTTTCAGCTTCTCATTTTAGCTGGTATTAAAGAAATGGAAAGCAGCCCTGGTAGCACAGAAATTAAAGTGCTGACTACTAACAAAAAGGTTAGCAGCAGTTCTACTCTGTCTTACAGAGGTGAAATCCACTCTTTAGCAAGGAGTTTCCTTTGTTTTAAGGAACTGGAACTTCATTTTAGAGACAAATAACCAAAGGCAGAGAGAGTGAATGTCTCAGGAGATTGATCAGGGCCCAACTTTCATCCCCCTCCTGAGACCTTGCTCAACAATCTTTCTTGGTTAGCTAACAGAGAAAGGGAAAAGGTAAGCAACAAACAGAATCAATATCTGTTTAGCAAGCAAGCAGTCTCTAGATCTTTGGACTGTGAGCTACTCTATGTGCTCCTGACTAGGTAAGGTCAGGAGATCTCTCAGTACAAGACAGCAACACCCAGCCTTACCACAACAGCCAGTCTGAAGCAATGCTAATGTCTTTCCTCCAGGGGCTGCACACAGGTCAAGTACAGTGTCCCCAGGCTGAAGGCCAAGGGCCAGGACTGGCAGCAAGGAGGCAGCATCCATCAGGTAGTAGTCCAGGACACCCAAGCTACCAAGCCTGGAAGAGAGAGCACCTTAAATTCAAATTCCAGGTCAAGATTCTCACAGAGCACCAAAACCACCCTCAATGGCTACTAGGTCCGCTCAAACAAAATTCCTATCTCAAACTGCACTTATAAACTCACTTACTTTGTCATCTGGGCAACAACAGCCAGAGTGATTCTTTTCTTTTTTAATTTTTTGTGCATGTACTGTCAAATCAGATCTGACTGGTACAGGAGGAGATTGCCCCTCCTTCTCCAGCAGAGCATCTGGTGGACTCGCACCTCATACCTCTGGGCTTGCAGTGCAGCTTCTTGCCACTAGGCCACCAGACCACCAGAACTCCCCCAGGGTGATTCTTTTAAAACATATGTCAATTCACCCCTATTCTGCACCACTAGCTTTACTATTCTTCAACTCATGCATGTTCATATCCCAGTGTGTGTAGTTCCTGTACAACACCCTTCCCCTAAATAATGGTGACTTGCTCCCTAACCTTTCAGGTTTCTCCTCAAAATTTATCTCATTAGAGAGAATCTAGCATTCCCTGATTACTGTCATTTCCTTCTAAGTCCCTACCCTATATTATTTTTCTTTAAAATATTTATTAGGCACTTCATATGTATAAATATAATGTGTATATTCACAAAAAATGTCCCCTTCCGAATTCCCCTATGAAAATGTCAGCTCCATAAGGACAGGAATTTTATCTGTATTGCTCACTGTAATATCCCCAACACCTGAAACAGTGCCTGACACATAGGAAAAACTCAGTTTTATTGGATTACAAAGTGTTTCATAGTTAGGAGGGTCATCAATTGTGTTTGTCAGAGTTACTTGAATTTGGAACCTGTTAAAGGAATTCACCTTCACCAAAGTAAGTAATAAGGAAGAGGAAGATTCCAAACAGAAGGGAAAAGAAGGGACAAAGGCAAAGACATATGCAAATGTAGTAACTTCTTTCAGTAACAGTAATTTGGTGTGGTGGAAATAAAAGGTACATGACAATATGACTAAGCAGTGAGAAGAACACAACAATAAAGAGCAACTATAGAAAGGACAAGGCTCTCTGTGGCACTGTGCATTACGTGTTAGGTTACTAACCAGAAGGCTGGAGGTTTGAACCCACCAGCCACTCCAAAGGAAAAAGATGAGGCAATCTTTTCCTATAAGATTGGTTTATAATAAACCAGATTTTTCTGAGTGTTTTGGCTTGAAACTCAAGGACAACAGATAATTGCTACAATACAGACAACTATGCAACAATAGTTAACAATGTTTACAAACGGATAAGAGATAATCAAACTAAAAAATTCACTTGCCTTCTAATCAATTCTAATTTATAGTAGTAGCCCTTTATTAAGTTCTGCTGAAAACAACTGCCACTGAATTGGTCTTTAACACTAGATCAATCCATCCACATAGACATCTCACATCACACACAAACTGAAGTAATCTTTCTGAAATATAAATTGGGTGAGAATAATAACAATAGTAAAATAAACTATTCATTTATGAGTGTTATATTGCAAGGACTACATGAGGTGCCCTGAAACTCTGCCAGCTAGGCAAGAAGCCTAGTGTGCATGCATGTTGGGCTACTAAATAAAAGGCTGGAGGTCCAAATCAAGCAGCTGTTTCATGAAAGAAAAATGGACACTCTCCTTCTACGTGATTTACAGTCCTGAAAACCAAGTGGAGGGTAACCATGAGTTAGAATTTACTCAATAGTTATTTTATGGAATCATTTTATATATCTTCACTTGTGGCTTAGTGGTAAGGAATTGTGCTGACAATATGACCTATGCAGTTTGAATCTACCAGCTGCTCCACAGGAGAAAGACAATCAACTCCTGTGCAATTCACTGATTCTGAAAACCCACAGAAGGATCTGCTATAGGTCAGTTCTGACTTGACAACACACAATAACAACAGCAAATCCACAGGAGAAAGATAGGTACATTCTTTCATGTAACTAGCAGTTTTGGAAATCCACTAGGTTGAGCTATGAGTTGGAATTATCTCAACAGCAATGACAGAGACAACCTTACAGAAGCTTCTGATTGGTACAAATGGTAAATGTACTTGGTTACTGAAAGATAAGAGGTTCTAGTTCAACCAGAAGTAGCTTGGAAGAAAGGCTTATATATCACTGACAAAAAAAATTAGCTCCTGAAAACACTATGTTGTTGTTATATGCCATCGAGTCACCTGTGACTCATAACAACCCTATATACAACAGTCTTAAACCCTGCTATATCCTGTGCCAATCTTACTGTCTCTGACACACCTACCACCATTACTCCAGTCACTCCATCTCACTGAGGATCTTCCTCTCCTGTGCTGTCCCTCCACTTTCCCAAGCATGATGTCCTTCTCCAAGGACTGATCCCACCTTGCAACTTGTCCAAAGTGTGTCAGACGAAGCTTCAAAATCCTTGCCTCCAAGGAGCAGCCTGGCATCACCCTCTCCAGGACAAACCTGTTCGTTCTCTTAGCAGTCCATGATATATTCAACCCTTCACCAATACCAAGCTCAAAGGCATAAATTCTCCTATCATCCCTAGTCACTGTCCAGATTTCTGATGCATAGCAAGTGATTGCAAAGACCATGGCCTTTATCAGGTGCACCTTAGTCTCCAGACTGACATATCTGCTTTTCAGTACTTAGAGAGGTCTCTAACAGCAGACTTTCCCATCGCAATACATCTTTTCATTTCCTGGCTACTGGGGCCAAGAGTGTTGATTGTGGAGCCAAGCAAACTAAAGCTGTGAACAATCTCAATCTCTTCACCATCCTTCATGATGTTGACAATTGGCCCAGTGGTGAGAATCTTTGTTTTCTTGATATTGAGCCTCAATCCATACTGAAGGCTGCAGTCCCTGATTTTCTGCATCAAGCACTTCAGTTTCTCCTCAGTTTCAGCAAGCAGGGTTGTGTCATCTGCATAACGCAGATTGTTGATGAGTCTTACTCCAATTCTGAAGCCACATTCCTAATCATAGAGCCCAGCTTGTTGATGAGTCTTACACCAATTCTGAAGCCACATTCCTAATCATAGAGCCCAGCTTCCCAGATAATCTGTTCTGCATACAGATTGAAAAGGTATGGAGATAGGACACATCTCTGGCATACACCCATCCCAATTTTGAACCATGCAGTGTTCCCTCGCTCTTTTCTGACAACTGCCTCCTGGTCCAAGTATAGGTTTCACATTAGCATGATCAAGTGTGCTAGGATTCCCAGTCTTCTCAGTTAGCCACATTTTGCTGTGATCCACACAAACACCTTTGCATAATCAATGAAACACATTATGAAAACACTATGGAGTACAGTTTTATTCTGGCACATATAAGGTCACAACTTGACTGGTTGGCCAGTTTACAACCTTCTATGGCAGAAAATCATAGATTCCAGTCAGACTGCCTAGGTCTCAAAATCAGTACAGTTGTCTTTGTGATCATAGCAAATTACTTAACTTCTCTGTTCCTTAGCTTCCTAATAAGAAGCTCTACCAATTAAAGTTATTTTAAAGATTGAATGAATTGTTAGTCAAGTGCTTAGAACAGCAGGCAGCACCTTTTTACAAATATGGCATTTAAAGAGAAGAAACTCCTGCTCCTCCCAAAACTGAAGCCAAAGGAAAACTTTAAAGGTCAAGAAGGCATCCATAGCCACACCTACATAACGTGTCTATTATCACATTCCAGCGGTCCAAAATACTGAGACTCTGAACACAGTCCAAATACCTCTGGAAACGTGTCCTCAGGAGAAAGAAAGATGACCACTTTGCTGTCACCAAGCTGTCCAGACCATAGAATACACTCTGAAGATAACAGAGGATAACAACATACTTGTGTTCACAGAGGATGTCAAGACCAATGAGAAGCAGACAAAAATAACTGTGAAATAGTTGTATACCACTGATGTGGACAAGAGCAATAACTTCATCAGGTCTGGAGAGAAGGAACATGTTCAACTTGGTCCAGGTTTTGAATGCTGAAAACAAAATTGGGATAAGCTAAACTGAGTCTAGCTGGTTAAGTCTAAATACACTTTTTACCAACACACACAAAATAGTAAATAGTTCATAGTGAGCTATGTAGTGGTTGTGCATTGTCAAGTAAAAACTTTCGTACAGCCGACCCTCCAGTGGGTTTTCAGCAGCAGTACATCACACAGGAGACTTTCCAGCCTTCTCCCAGGGAGCAAACTTATGGTGGATTTGAACCATTTGTCTTCAGGTTGGTAGCACAACTCCTTACAACTAAACTACCAGAGCTCTCTTAGTTTTTATTGTTGTTGTTGTTACTATTATTATTATTATTATTTTGCAGATAAGGAAACTAACAATCAGTTAACACAATGTCATAGTGGTCAAGGCAAGATCCAGAAATTGATTTTGCCGGCTCTAAAGCCCATGCTTTTTAGTACTGTGCACCTCTCTATAGAACATATCTTGGTAATATGTAGCAATAAGCACAATAGCCTGAAGACACCTAGCCCTGATAATCTTAGACATTGCAAGGGAATCCTAGGCCACCACAAAAAAAATCTCCTTACCTAAAACTGCAAGCACCTGGCATTTAGGATACCCAGAAGTGAACCTCATATATTTTCCAGCCTCATCTCTTTCTTACTTTTATTAAGCATCCAGCCTTACTCTCAAGCCAGTAGCTAGAGCAGTTGCAAAAGCCTAAATTATTGCACCATCCCCAGCCTAGCCCCACTCCAATTTGTTTTTCACACAGCAGCCAGACTGAAATTTTGAAAATTCAAATATGATCATATCATTTTCCAGTTTAAAACAACACATGATTTTTCTTTTTGGGGAAAAATCCCAAAGTCCACATAGCCTATAAGACCATCATCTGACTTGCCTTTTCCTATAGTCTCATGGTTATCCCTCCTTCCCCATCTCTACATCTCATTCCACATTTTATTAATTTCTACTTAGTTTTCAGGTCTCTGGGTAAAATTTCACTTCCTCAGAAAAGACTGGGTTACATCTTCCA